GCTTCATTTCAAATTTTATTTCTAATCATAGCAACAAACGAAGGTTGCCATTTTAAAGTCGATGATTAATAAGAGAATGAGGCTAGAAGATAGAAAATAGGGATATAAGTATGTAGATAGGCTTAATCTTCTGTCGCATTATTTGAGAAAATACTAGTCTAAGGACAAGAATTAAAAACTTTTATTCTTGCTTTTGATTAACGATATGCCTCCTCTTTTAAAGCTAGGTGAGTCCGTATAGAATTTTGAAGAGAAATAATTAAAAATAACTTCTGACCCTTGCTTTGGTTATGCCCGTTTTTAAGTGAAAACCTGCCCCCTATACAGGTTACAACAAGATTTGTTTATGGTCGCTTTTATTTTGAGGATATCTGTAGCTTCATTCGTTAGAGTGTAGCTACAACAACTGAGTCTGAAAAGATTGGCCTCCCACTCACCGGTCTAGTTTTATAATATGTCTTCTGGCTAGTGCAAAATAAGGGGGTCATCAAAATTAATTGAATAGGTAACATAAGTAATGCTAAAAATAAAAGTTGAAAGTTTGGTAAAAATTATGCGTGTGGACAAAAAATGTTTTTCTATCTTGATGAATTAAAAAAGGTGTTACGGTCTGCTTCAATTACACTAAGCTATAACTCGCTGTTTTGTACTAATCATTTGATATATCCCTTTATGCGTTTTTAATTGGAGTATATATATATATATTTTTTTAAATATATATATATATATATATACTCCAATTAAAAACGCATAAAGGGATATATCAAATGATATAAATATATAAAAAAAAATATATATATATGGTAAGTTGGAACAAAGTGGTTGGTTTACTTGGCTTAGTACTGGCTTGAAATTAGCATAGGAACGAATTTCTGTTTCCATTGAGATCAACCCAATTGCAGATTATTACACATTTATGCTTACAATCTTCAGTGGTCGGGATGGATACGCGCTCATGAAAATGGAAAGAATAGTAAGAGCAGGAATTCTGGGGCCAGCTTGAGAGAACAACGCTTGGTTATAGTCCTCTCGTCAGTTATTGTATGCAAAGGCTCCTTGGCAAGCATGAATATGTGAGGGAGAGAGCTCATGTTTGCCTGCTTACACTACCATATCAACTAATAATGTACTACTGCTTGCAACACACACGATCCTTACGGAAAGGCATGTACCAACATCATGATTGAACGGGTGCATCTTCTGCCTAGGATGTGCTTGTACCAAAAAGTCGCGCAAATGAGTGCTGGAAAACACAGCATGCACCTTGGCCAGCAATTACTCTTACGCCCTTATTCAAGACAGACAGACCCTTGAACTCTCGGCCAAAAACTTCGCAACGAACATGTACTTTCGGTCGAATGGCTCGCTCCACAAGTCACGACGCCGCCCTAAACCATTCCGTTGAAGATCAGTTCTTAGCGTAAACGATGGACCCATGAACCGGAGCATCTGAGCTAGATTTGTCGGATCACCAGCAAAGACACGTGCCCAATAATTTATCAGACGTAAGCACTGCCGGTAGATGCGAAGTTGATTATTTGGTTTTTTACTGACCAGCTTCTCAACCCGGCACAAGCCAGCAGTCACAACTTCACTCTTGAGGATCTTATTGGATGGGCAAGTCAGGGCATCCTTTCGGCATCCTTTCACTCCCCTGAATCGATCTTTGGAGACTATGCTTGACATTCAGACCATATTTGAGATAATACTAGTCTAAGGACAAGAATTAAAAACTTTTATTCTTGCTTTTGATTAACTATATGCCTCCTCTTTTAAAGCTAGGTGAGCCTGTATAGAATTTTGAAGAGAAATGATTAAAAATAACTTCTGACCCTTGCTTTGGTTATGCCCATTTTTAAGTGAAAACCTGCCCCCTATACAGGTTACAACAAGATTTTTTTATATTTTTTATAAAACTCTTGCACTTTATTTATGCGCTTTCATGTAAGTGACTACAAAAGCAATTCAGACTTCATTTTTCCCACAATTTAGTAGCAATATTTAACAAGGACACGAATGCGAGCAACAATAATCTGTGTTCCATTCAGGTGGTTGAGAAATTGTTAAATAAGAGTCTGAACTTACCACAAATTCGAAACTACTCCTTCTCGTAGATAGTAAAAAAGTTATCATGGACTGTGACATTAGGTTTTTCAGAGTGATCCAGAGTAATTCAGCTAAGAATGAATAGAGGAGAAGGGTTTAAAGCCTATTTTATGCATTAAACTTAAGTCATTGGCTTGAAATGATATTTTTGAAATGAACCAATTTCAAGTTATTGATAAGTAATAAAAAACTGAGAAATTATTGCATCACTTTTGACAATTGAGACAAAGAAATGACAATTCGATTTGCTTATATGTGAATAATCATGATCGAATTTTGTTGTGGCTTGACGCACATCTAAAGTTCCCAATGCAATATATAAAGTGAGGACCAAACATTTGTTTACTAAGACGTATTCATCCTATTTCGTTTAAGGTGATGAACGATTGCAAGCTCTCAATCAGAGTGTGCTGCAGTTTCGGTCTCGTTTAGGTCTTAGCAACACCCCCAAAGTCGAAACTGAAGTCCACACTGGATGCAACCACGATTTTGGAAAGCAGGGTTATGTGAAATTCAAAAGAGACATCAGCTCTACTCACATGATTGCGGGAAAATGCAACTATCATAAATTGGGTGAACACATCTTACATAACAGATTTAGGTGTAGTCTCGAAACGAAATGTATGTGTACTAAGTTTGAGACTTCGACTAACTTTAAGCTATATTGGTGTGAACTATTTCGCCTATAGTATAGGTGGTCCATAGCATGGGATGGCATTTGGCATAAAGGTATCTCTGGCATTGCATGGCGAGAGGTTTACGACTTGCTGGACTGCTGACACACAAATTCCAATTTTTATTGCACTGGGGTTCTTTACATGAAATTAGACCATTTCCTTCTCACCTGTTTGTGTCTGTAAGACTGGCTTTTCTGACTTATAAGGCATCTTCTACGAAGAGTCTATAATTATTAGAATTCTCCAAACACTTCAGGCATTGTTTTGTATAACTTGATCTGATCATGATTAGCACTGATAAGCTTTCGCGCACATTTATTTCCAATTTATTGCCAAGTTTTAAAGGCTAAGAAACTAATTCACTCGAACTGTACGGCTTAAATGCATAACAGGAAAACGAGCAATC